AACATCATTATCAAATGATATAAAAGGTGAAACATATGATGATGCACCACCATCATCATCATTTATGATACCATCTGATGATAATTCATCATCAACAGGTGGTATACCATCACCTTCAATATCTAATGCACAAGTTGATAGTGATTCACACGAACAATCGGGAACAAATTGATCAGTTGAACATTGTTTATTCATTGGCAATACGAATCGTTTAGTTTATGTTTTATGTGTGTTTGGCCTCTAGTTCTCTACATGTTTATGTGAATTTGTACAGTTTTATCTGATGTACTAGTGAACAGTATTTCTCGTTTCTTTTTTTTGTTTCTGTAGAATGGCCTTTTCTCTTTTGTTTTTGTTTTTGTTTTTTATTTGAGAACAGTGACTTCATTTATCTTGTGTTTTCTTTTATGGCAGTATTTTTCCATCATTTCAGTCAATACCATCATTATCGTTTGTGTTTCTGTTTATGATGCCGGTGATAACATAGATCAGAAAACAAAACAAAAATAAGAGAAATTTTCTATTATTATTCGAACAGTGTTTATTATATGCGTATCGTTCCGGTGTGTGTGTGTATGTCTGAGAGAGAGAGAGAGGAAGAAAAAAAAAGCATATAAAGAAGAAGACATGTTACCATCGGCTGATTTGTCCTCCCCCCTCCGCCGTTTGTCCCCCTTCTAACTTTGTTCACTCCCGGTCCTTAATTTTTCATATTGTTTGTGTCCTTTTTCATTCAACTTTCTTTTTCTTTTTTTTTGTCTATTCTATCTAGTCTGGATATTTTTCTATTTGTTTCATTGTATACATATATGCTCCATTCGTTTATGGTTAAGGGTTCTATTTTGTCTATGCAACTTGTCATGTATGTCTTGGTTCTTCTTTTGTTGCTCTCTTTTTCTTTTTCTTTTTTCTTTGTCAAAATCATGTAATTCTTTGTAGCCAATGTTCTGTTTATTATTATTAGTTGATACTTTATTTAAAAAAAAAAAATAACTAGAATGTTGCGTCCTTTTTCTTTTCTTTCTTTATAGTGCAACACTAGATCTTTTGGTGCTGCTAATGTTTTCTTTCGTTATATTATTACTACTTACAAGTGTATCTCGCGATTATATGTAACTTTTTTCTCCTTTTTTTTTTTTTTGTTTGGTTATTCAATCTCCTTAAGTTTTCTTTTTGTTTAACTTGCTATTATTCTTATAACTACTTATATCATTACACTACTATTACAGTTTCTTGAGAATATTTATGTGAAAAACGAGAACGCGTGCTATTACTACTATTACTGTTGGTTCGAATAAATTCTAAATTGGAATATATATATACATAAACGAGAAAAATATTGAAGTGTTTGTTTTTGTCTTTTGTTTTTTTTTTATTTTTAACCTGTTTGAATATGATAAAAAGAAATAGGTTTCAATGCTTTTTTGATGAAATATGATCTAAAAGAAGTGTTGAAGTAGAAATTGAGATCCCTATCCATAGATTATGACAGATACCTTGGTAATTGATGACAGATTGAAAGAATAGCGAAGAAATATATCCTAAAATAGATAGAACAAAGAAATCTCCTGTGAATAACCACAATAGTTATATCGTGTTTCACATTATCTATTTTCTTAGGTTAAATTTTTCATGTTTTCGCGAATCTTAATGAATTTTCTAGTTACTATCTTCAAGAAAAAAGAAAAAAAAGTTAATCTTTCTTTTATTTTTGGTTTTTTGTAGATGATTGGATTTACAAGCAAATGATTTTTAAACAAATGACAAAGAAGAAGAACTTGTAAGTTTATTTACAAGATCAAAATAAATAATAATAACGAGCAGGCAGGTTTTTTTTTTTTTATTATTTTTTCTTCATTGAGAATATTAAAAAACGTTTTTTTTTATACGAAAAGTCATATTTTTATATTTGTAGGATTGTACATATTGAGTGATGATTAAGAACAAATTTATTCTTCTTTATCTTTTGATATGTTTTGAATTCGAACATGAGATGATCAACTATTGATATGATTGAGCAGCATGAGTCAAAAAGTATATTCTATCTTGTTATTTGATTTATGTATAAAAAAAAAAAAATTTAATTAAATAAAAACAAAAAAAAAACAAAATTATTATTTTATATTCAGTTAGATTTTTGAGAATTATTTATTGAATGTTATTCATATGATTTTATTTGATATATATATATATATGTATTGTAGAAATTTAAACTTCTATTTTTCTACTTGTCATGGCTGATATTGAACCTGTAAAACAGAATCAAGATCTTGAACCAGAACAAAAACGTAAAGTTTTTATTGGAAGTTTATCATATAATATAGATGAGAATGCATTTCGTGATTATTGGACAAAATTTGGAGCAGTTATGTAAGTTAATTTTTCTTATAGTTTTTTTTTTGTTATTAATTTTTATATTTTATTTAGAGAAGCATCTATTTTACGTGATCGTGATGGTCATTCACGTGGTTTTGGTTTTGTTACATTTGCTGATCCATCAAGTGTTGATGCTGTTATGCAAGCACGACCACATACACTTGATAATCGTGTTGTAGAACCTAAACGTGCAGTAAGTTTAAAAAAAAAAACTATTAAATTATTGATTATTTCATGTTTTATTATAAATTAAGATACCACGAGAAGAAACTCATAAACCAAACATGCAATTATCAGTTAAAAAACTTTATTTAGGTGGTGTTAAAGAACCAATAACAGAGAATGATCTTAAAGATTATTTTAGTAAATTTGGTACAATAGTTGATGTTGTTGTTATGAAAGATCGTGATGGACAATATCGAGGGTATGTTTAAATAAATATTTATCTTTTTATAGTAATAATTCTTATTATTCTTTCGTTTTTTTTTATAGTTATGGTTTTGTTGAATTTGATGAGTAAGTTATTCTTGAATAAAAGTATTTTGTGAGATAAGATAGTCATCCTTCATTTGGAATAGTCATCTATATCATTTTGTAGGACAATATATACGGAAATGAAGTATCATATTCTTTTTTTCTTTTGTTCCTGATGAATTTAAATTTTAAATAGTCACAGGGATTATCTTATCCGATAGAAGCCTGCATTTAGTTCCTTTTCTATTTTTTTTAAATAGTTATGATCCGGTAGATAAAATAATACTTGAAAAAAGTCATGTTGTATGTGGTCGACAATTAGATGTGCAAAAAGCTCAATCACGAGATGGATCACAACGTTCTGGTAATACACGATCTCGACAAGGACCACCATCAACATCAAGATCAAATTATAATAGTGGCGGTGGTAATGGTGGTGGTAACGGTGGTGGTGGTGGTTATAATAATTATCAACAAGATAATATGAATGATCCATTTGGACAAATGCCAAATAATAATTTTAATGGATATGGATCAAATTTTAATGAAGGCAATGGTAATTGGACATCATTTGGACAAGGGTAAGTTTAAAATTTTATTATTTATTTTAAGTTTTTTCAACGATTTTATTATTAAGATATGGTCAACAAAATGTTGGTGGACCTATGCGACGTGGAAATATGGGTGGTGGTGGTGGTGGTGGTGGTGGTCATGGTCGTGGTTATGCACCTTATAATGGTCGTGGTGGTGGTGGTGGTCGAGGTCGAGGTGGTGGAAATCGAGGAGGTCCATCATGGACTTCATGGAATTAAGATGAATACTGACCTTGTTATATAATGATGTTCTATTAAGAATTCCTTTTTTTTTCCTTTATTTGTTATCGTTCATTCTGTATGTATATCATGATATTGATTAAAAACAAAGCAAAGCAAAATAAAAAAAAAAAGTTATCATTGATGGAATCATCTTCTATTATTTTGCATCGTTTACAATCAAAAAAGAAACATTTCAAACTTGATCGTTATTTGCTAACGGATTAAGACAAGCAGCGACACAAGAAAGTTTTACCGTACGATTGAACATGTAATAATCAGTTATATTTTGATTCGAGTTCGATTATGAAAAGTGTTCCCATACAGATTATTAGTCTATAATCATATGAGTATAGATTTTAAAAACTATCTAATCATCTGATCAGATGGACATAAGACAAAATAAAGAATTTCTCATCTGATATCTATTGACAATCTTGTTTCATCTTTTATTTTCTTCTTATTGATCATATCTCTGTTTATTGTTTTCTATCATTAGACAAAATCTTTACCAATATTCTATGGATATTCACCGAATAATTGTTTCTTTTTGTTAAAAAATATATATATATATATATGCTTATTATCATTTCATTAGATAGGTGGAGAGACATAATTGATTCAATGTCTTTGAAGTTCATTGAATCAAATAGATACTCATCGATTTGACAACAAAATAACAAGACAATGTATACATGTCAAATATATATCTATATGATAGACATAGATCGCATTCGATATGTTGACCTTTTGGCCTAAATGATTTTTTGCTTGAAACTCGATCTATTGATGGTGATTAGTGTATATATATATATATGTGTGTGTGAGAGGGAGAGGGAGAGTTCATACATACTCTTGGATATAAACACAAATGAGACGTGCCTGTTGTTATAGTTAAAGTTTCTATGGGGTGTGGCTGCTTGTCGTCAGCAAAAGGTTGTATAGATCATTTACATTCACACAATTCAATTGACAACATTAATTAGGCGCATATTTTAGTTGATCAAGAATCATTAAAATAAAAACTAAACATCAGAAATATGACAATATTTCTTATGTTAATAATTATTATTATGAAAAGAAAAAAGAAAAAAATGAAACGTGCAATATAAACAAATAGAGAAACAAAACTAGAAATAAATGAAGATCTGCCTATTTCGTATCGATAATTTATCAATAGATATGACTTATTAATGATGTTGCACTATTATTTTTTTGTTTTTACTGTCCATATCAAATTAATAATAATCGTCTATTTTTTTTTTGACTAGAATTTTGTTTCTCAAATAAAAAAAAGAAAACAAAAGAAATATCCGTTGTATTTTGTTTTTTTTACATTTATGATGAACATGTTGTAGTTGAAGGTGAAATAAAATTGTACAATGAATGATGCTGAAACATATTTGTAGCATATTCTTTCATTTGTATTAAACGATATTTTTCTGTATCAGCTTCAGCTAAACGTTTTTCTTTTGCTCGACGATTTTGAAACCAAATCTAAAATAAAATATTTTTGAAATGTTTCTTTTTTTTTAAATCATACTTTAACTTGTGTTTCAGTTAAATTAAGTGATGATGAAAATTCAGCACGTTCAGCTATTGTTAAATATTGTTTATCACGAAATTTTTTTTCTAATGCAAGTAATTGTGATGTTGTAAATGGTGTTCGTGGTTTACGATTTTGTTTATGTTTACGTAATGAACATATTTTAGCATTTATTTTAGGTAATTCATTATTACGTGCTTTATCAATTATATCTGCATCAGGTAACCAAGATAATCTTGTTATAATACTATTTTTACCTATTGATGATGATGTTGGTGAATATTGAAAACTTTCATTACTTGTTGAATCAATTAATGAACGTATACTAAAATCAGTTGGACGTTTACTTTTTTTAAATGGTGGTTCCATAGATTTTTATTAGATATGAATAATTTGTGAAATCAAATTCTAGCTTTCTTCTTCTTTTTTTTTTTTCCTATCGTCGAAAGAAAAAATATGATTGGTTTGAGCATTGAACTAAGACGAAGAAAATTATTTATTGGACGAATAAAAAAAAAAGAAGCGAGAAAGAAAAAAAAAAAAAAAGGTGATTATTTCTTTTTCTTTCTCTTCGATTGATTGGGAAGAAAGAAAAAAAAAAAAGGAAACAAGAGCTTATCCCTGAGTGACGGAAATATGGATTTTTTTTTTAGTATCAAAGGAAATTGCCTTTCTTTAGGCAGCCTCGAAAAAAAAAAAAATACTTTTTAATTATCATAAACACACTCTTTCTTTTATGAAGGGCAAAGAAATAAGTAGAGGATATTAATCAAAATAAAAAAATGACATATCAAATGATCATTATTCGTCTATATTAGCAAATCCGAATAATTTAGTTACCTACCAGGTAAAATGACAAATTCATCTTTGATTTTATATGGTTGGCTACTGTTTTTTTTTCTTCTTCTTGATTTCCAAATAATAAACGAAAAAAATTCTATCATTAAATGTGATTGATTTGATGATCTCTATATTAGATGTTAGCTTAACGGAAGTGAATCGTTTGATGAAAACGATCTAGATCCATCATAATATTCTATTTCTACCCAGATGCCCTAATGAACGGATATCGGCATCTTTTAACAAATACAGATAATATATATATATACAAGTCGTATAATTATATCATAAAAAAAAAACAGATGAGGTTTAAAAAGAGTAGAATTAAAACTATGCAAAAATTAAAGTATTAAATTAAATACATTTTTATTTCATCGTCAGTCAAATGTCAAATGGTTATTATATTCATTGATGATTCAATGATTTGGAAAAGATTTTATAGAGAAAGATAGAATGGTTCATTTATTCTTACAGTTAAATAATCATTGTTTTTTCTCACTTCTAATATATATATATAGAAAAGCACATCGTCACGATTTATTAATAAAAAACGAAAATGTAAATTTTAATTCTTCATTTCTCATATTTTTTTTGTTTTTTCATAAAGTAGACAATGCACATGTCAATTGAATATTTATTCACTTGAATCGATAAATTTTTGACATTTTCAAACATGCAAAGCAACTTTCAATTGACTTTATATATTTTAAAATAAAGTATGACAACAATATAATTCAGATAAATTAATGGTCATATCTTCATCGTGTAGGCAAAAAAAAAAATGATAAATGAGAAAGACAGAGACAATTAACGATATATATATATATACATAAAATACTATTTAACAAACCATATTTTTATGAATCAATTAGGGAAAAAGAAAAATCTTTCTCGTTATTTTTTACAGACAATATCGATTAACCAGACAATTGTTTCAACATAAACCTATAGAGAATCTGGTATTCTCCTATTTTGTTTCTGTTTAGAACAAACGACACTAACTATCTCATTAGTTTGTTCTAACACGATAACCGTCCTTCTTTTATATATATATATATATAAACATTAAATGTTTGAGACGTGACACAACGAGTCAATTGCCATTCGCTTGATGAGGCTAATCGACTATTAACGAATGCGTTTATTTCCAAACTAAGAACTTTTAATCGTCAATAAATAGACATTATATACTGTGTATACATTTAAAAAAAAAAAACATGATGCCTGACACAAAGAAGACTAGTTTTACAAAAAAAAAAAGAATAAAATTTGCATATATATATATATATCAAAAGGGAAAATATGTTGAATTTATTTCAAATTGTTTAGCTAATTGTTCTTTTATTTGTATAAAACGATATTTTTCTAATTCAGCTTCTGATAAACGTTTTTCTTTTGCTCGACGATTTTGAAACCAAATCTAAAATAAAATATTTTTGAAATGTTTTTTTTTTTTGTTTTTAAATCATATACTTTAACTTGTGTTTCAGTTAAATTAAGTGATGATGAAAATTCTGCACGTTCCGATATAGATAAATAATGTCGTTGATGAAATTTTTTTTCTAATGCAAGTAATTGTGTTGTACTAAATGGTGTACGAGGTTTTCGACCATTTTTATGTTTACGTAATGAAGATATTTTTGTATCGAATTGATCTTTTAAATATATATATATTTTTTTTTAAAAATAAAATTTAACATACCAGATAACCAATATGAATTTGAATTTGTTGTTGATGTACTATTATTTTGAAGATTATTTATTAATGAAATTGAATTCCAATTTGTTGATGAACATGAAGATTTAGATGGACTACTACCATTTGAAGGATATGTATAATCACATTCATTATTATTATTATCTCGTAAGAGAAATGCAACACTAAAATCTTTTTTAGGTTTACTTCCCATGTTTCTCTCTCTATTCTATGTGTAAAGGATAATTGTTGTGCCTGTGTAATTATGATGCGTACGATTTGTTTTTCACTGACTATAAATATATATATATATATATGTTTTTTTTTTTTTTTGTTGGTTCTGTAACACCAATGAAAACGACGATGATGGTGGTAAAGAATGAGAATAGTTGGCCTTTACACACACGATTGGTTGTGTACGGGAAAGGGAAGAGAAAGCAACAAAAAAAAAAAAAAAGCGAGAAATATAATATAATATGTTTCTTTCTTATTCGTTTATATTTGATATTCTCTTTTGCACCAGCTTTAATATGATCGTATATATTGCAACGAATCATCAAGCATGCAGATCATTTCTCACTAATATACCTATTAAATAATTCGATTTTTTTTTGTTTGTTTCTATTGAAAAATTTTTTCAATAAATGAGACCAAAAAAGAAAAAATGTTATCCTTATAAATCATTCTTAATAGGGCGGAGTAATGTAATTTTATTGTTGAAAACTAATATCATAATTATACAAAAACAAAAGACATATTTATCATATAATTACATAATAATAATTTTTCCACTCTGTTTATTCTTTTTCTTTCGTTTCTTTTTTTTTTTATTTCGATTAACTTAGTTGCAAAATTCATCTAATGTCTTGATAAATGACTTGACACATTACAACTGTCACTTCTCTTTATCGTTTCACACACGTTACATAGGCAAGTAAGCGTATGACTGCTTTACTGATTCATTGCGTGTATCATATATTTACATACCTTGATTAACTGACGATGTGTTGAGTCTTATTGCTTATATTTCATGGACGAATCTTATTAAAAAAAAAAAAATGATCATTATGAAAATTTTCTTTTTTTTTTTTTTTCAAACATTTTTCTATCCTCCTATCTATTTAATTAATGACAAAAGTGAATGTTGATATTATACAATGTCTTAAGGTTGTTCATTGTATATGGTTGTCAATAGAAAAAGATGATGGATTAATGTTAATTATAGGTTAATGTCATTTTTCTTTTTTTTCTTAGTGGATTGAAATCAAAGATAAATTTATTTGATAGACAAAAAAAAATAATCAAGAGATACAAACAATATTAATGTTTTTTTTTTTATATATATTGGAATGAAGATAATTGTCATGTAGACATCTTTCATCAATATTATTAGCATTAAAATGTCGTTTGTTTGTTTTTTTTTGTTTTTCGTTGCAATAAGGTGTATCAATTAATCAACTATATTGTTAATAGTAACATCTACTTTTTATAGTATAGTCATTTAAAATTGATCAGTCTAAATGTATATACAGACACATAGATTAAAATGCATGAATAATCTTAAGCTTTTTTTTTTCTAATGGAGTCTGTATATAACAAAACTATTAGATGTTAACAATTGTATATGAGTAAATTGATAATGTTGAATGATAGATTTTTACATTACTGCTTTTTTTGTTTTTGATATATCATTAACTTTTCTTTGACATCTAAAAATAATTCGAAAATAAAACTAAAGTTTATAAAATATGAATATTTTAATCGGATGTAAATTCGAATACAGATCACTTATAAGAGATCGATAAAAGGTTTATCGATGAGATGTTAAACTTAATGTAGAATATGAAAATTTGAGATTAAATGTAATTGTTTATTGGAAAAAGATATTTTCATCATATTATCTAGAAAATCATCGTGTATTAATAATATTCAAGAAGTGAAATAATTATAATTGTAAAGGAATCTAATTTAAAGAAATAATTCTTATATTTTATGCGGAAAAAGAAAGGATGATCAATATTTTGAAAAGTTCTCAAAAAAATGATTTTGTATTTTCTTGAATATTTCTCTAGCAAAAATTTTGTATATGATGTTATTTATTTATCAAAATAAAAAAAGATTTAGAGTGTTTCAAGCATAGTCGTAATTTTTTTATTATAGCATTTCATTTTTATTTTCTTAGATTCTTTTTGTAAAAGTTTACTCTATTCGAATTACTATTTGAAATCTTTGTAACGCTTACAACAGTGGAAAAGAATTGAAAAAGCAGGTGTTTACCAGAATTTAAAGTAGCCTATATCTAGTATTTCGATTTTTGCATTCACATTAGACTATCTCAAAGGATCCCTTTTTCTCATAAGAAGCAAGTGAAAAATTAACCAATATTTGTTCTAAGTATTCCTTTGGGAACGTGAAGATTTTTTAAGTGTGAAGTTCAAAAGAACAAATTAAATTTTTTCTTTCTCCTTCTTTTTTATGGAAAACATGATGAAATGCCGAATCTTCTAAAATATCTATTTAAATTGAAAAATAAATTATACTGAAAATTATCAATCTTTATGCTATCCGAAAGAAGAATTGTCTCAAGTACGTAATAATATAAACTGTATTGATTTCTATGGGAAATAAAATGCAAGAACTTTTTGAAGAACAGTCATATTTTGTTAACTATCAGTAATCAAATCATCGGATAGAGATACCATGAAATGTCTTCTTGCTAATGATTGTTTAATTTTGAACGATTCCAACCACTTTAATTCATACAAAAAAACAAATATTGATCTGTGTATTTCACGTGAAATGAATACTATTGAATAAGTATGAGGTTTTTTTGGTTCTTTGCCGTCACTCATCGTCTTCTTCTTCGATGAATGTTTTCTTGCTACTATGTATAGTCCTTCTCCTAGAGCACTTATTTGATAATAGTTTTAAAAACTGATAAAAGGAAATAAGCCAAAACAAATAGCAACGGAAGATAATGGTTGGACGTGTTACAAAAGTAAGATACGCATCCTTCAGAAAAAAAACAAGTCAAGGTGTAAAACAAAAAAACTTTCAACCAACAGCAACGTATTATTAACTGTAATTAGAAAGTTTCGATTTCAATTCCTTGATCGTCGTGAGTAAATTATTAGAAAGGTTTGGAAACCAAAAGAAATCATTTTGAAACTTATTTACGTAGCATCAAGACACTGTGAACAGTCTATTTCTGTTTTACTTTCATTTTACTCATGAGTTTCAGTCATTAAAGAGATAAGAAACTAAAATTAACACAATCTAATTGCAAATTTGATGAGATTATGGATAGAAAAAAAAGGTCAAAACAATGGTAAATTTTGGGTGTGAGCGTAAGAGTGTAGGTATTGCTGTGGATGCGGTGTAGCTGTGGGTGCTAGTGGATGAGATGTAGATATAGGGGTGGGTGTGGACGTGAATGGAAGACATTATCCCGGACCAACACCCCTACCCCCATCCCCACACCCATTTAGCATTCAAATTTCTCAACTAAAATTCTAAATTCATTTTAAATTGATAATAACATTAAGTACACAATGAGATATTGAAATTTCTTTTTTGAAGATTTATTGAATTTCTGTTAATTTAGCCCTACTAGTCATAGAAAACGTTTAAAAGATTATTATGTATAGAACCAGTTATCAAAGAGTTAAGAAAAATAGAATGACATCGAAAATTTTTGTCCTGAAAAAACAAAGTTTTTCATATTTTAAAGAGATCAAATCATCAACAAAATAACACTGAGAATATGAAAAATGATGAATAAATAAATAATAATCTATGTTGTTACTTAATTAAGGCAAAGAAACATTATTTTTTTTTTGTTGAATATTATAATTGATTTCAAAATATGAATATCTTTTCATATTGATGTTATAAAATCTAGTTTTTATTTTGTAAGTCTTATACTATCAGTAATACATTTAAATGAAAATGACGTTTCCTTGGTTATTACCCTTGTCAAATCGCTGTAGCTGCTGTTTATCTCGTCTATCTTGAATGCACCTCAACGACTAAGAGCTTGAAAGTCTAGTCTAAGATAAGCACGCTTGGCGTGCCTTAACTTCATTCCTCTCACTTTTAAGTAAATAATAGCATTATTTTACACATTGCTCAAAAAAATCATAATGGACACTGATCGGACTAGACCAATCATTATACGTTTTTCTTCGATAACTATTTTCTTTGTCATTTGAAACATTTGTCTCTAATATGGATAGAATTACTAGCTCCTACAGAAACCACTAGACCTCAAGTTGTTGTTCAAATGTCATTAAATGATTGACATATATAATTGCTTTTTTATGTTCTTAAAAGTAAATGTCGCTTGGAAGACTAGTTTCTCTTGTTGGCCTAAGTTTCGATAGTAATTCTCATCCAATATCGCGATGGCACATCTTTGCCTAATAACCGCTAATCGTATCACATATAATCTTTTCGTGGGTGTGGATGTGGGTAATTGTGCTTATTCTCTTCTTTCACATCCACACCCACACCTGTGAAAACCTTGTCGATCATCGTGCCACGATTGATTAGACTTGTGAGGTGACGATATCGATCTCAGACAGAAAACATTGATAAGGCCAGCGAAAAATAAATCCATTAGGCCAGTTTTGAGTTATTCCTAGCTGAAAAATGTTTCGCTTTTGGGTGTGGGTGTCAGTGTAGATGTGGGCATGGGCGTGGGAGAAGTAAAGGCCAGCACTCATACTCCACCCACACCCCACCCTTAGTTAAAAAAGAGACTCTGTAGTGCCTGCATCTTGACATACTCTTTCAAACAAAAAAAAAATCAAATATATAGAATGAGAACCAACAGAGAATTTTGGATTGCTCGATCAAAAAAGCATATTTTTTTTTGCAAGTAGAAAATGACGAAGATTTTTGAAATAAACGAGGTGCCAAATAAAAATTCATGTCACCTATGAAAGATCAGACATCGGAATGTCTTTCCTCATCGATTGGTCTCAATTTTCACTTTTTTGACAAAGCGGTTAGTCTTAATGAATATTTTTTTTCTTACTATGAAGAAAATCATAGAGAACCGGTTGACAAGTCATAAGATTTCGTTCAAATTAAAATTAAAATTGAATTTGAAGATTTGTTTGATATCCGATAAATAATGAATCAAAAAACATTTTTACATCACTATATTTTGGTAATTCTGATTCTTTGAATACCATTTTTATCTGTTAAATTCTACCGATCAGAAATATAACCCAAGCATTTGAAACAATGTTGATCAGCAAAAAGAACGATTCTTGCTTATATAGCTGAATATTTATATGATATAGATGATCTACCCACAGAATCATTTGAAAGAAAATATTTAGCGTTCGAACAATAG